TAGCGCTAGTCGAGATGTACGAAACGCGGCACGCGAAATTCCTTTTCTCTTCGGCATAAGGGAGATATCGTAGTTTTCAAGGCGATTCGTCATTTTTGTCGCTTTTTTTCGAACATTTCTAGAAAAAAAACTGAGACACGGAACCGAACAGATTTAGCTAATAGGCACGTATTTTTCGTCTAGCTATCGAACGAGACCGATCTCGAGTCGATATTTCGATAAACGGCGAAACCAGTGTGAAATAACGCCGCGTAAGGTCCGAAAAACGGCCGATTTTTCGACTTTACCGGCCGTTTTCGATCCGATCCGTTCCTCTCACCGCGGCGGCTCTCGCTTCCCGATAAAGCGCCGAGTTTCTACTTTCCGAAACGGTACCTCTTTCCTTCCGGACGTTTCGCGAACCTCCTAAAAAACCGCGAAAACCGCGTCGACGTCGCACGACTTGAATCTCTAGGTCACGTGGTCTTCTACGAAAAACAATCGATCACCGCTTAATATAGTCGATTATCAACATTTGGCATCAATTTTGTAAGGGTTAATCTTAAATCTCCTCAGTCATGATGTCCAGTCTGTTTTTTTTTCGTTAGGAGATCGGTAACAGCGCTGAACCCCCTTTCCACTAGGTATGACGATGGAAAGGAAATTAAAAATTTCCTCGCCATATTCCATAATACGGGATAAGTAACGGGTATGTTGTTTTGCAGCCAGAATTGCTGATATCCGTTTTTAAACCGAACCTTAAGTTCTTCGTTTGTACTTAGTTCAGTCAGTTCCTCTTGTATTATGACATTCGTTTCTTCTATGTCACCATATGGATTAATTATCCACGGTGGTATTACCTAGTCAAAATATCCTCAACCTAGATTCAAAATCTGATAGAGAGAATAGAGGGCATTTAAATGTTGAACGTAAGTTGAAACGTCGTCTTCCTGGCAGCTTGTCTGTGACAAATTGGGAAACTGAGAAAATTCGCCCCGTCCAATATTTTGCTTCATTTTTCCTCTTCATTAAATTTTCTTTTAAAATTTTATCTTTAGTATCCAGAAATTTTAAAATAGTCTCAAAAGTGCAAAAAATCTTGTCAAACATAAGCCTTTCGACAGCCAGCGTACTTCAGTGTGAAGGAGTAATTGATGAAGTGTTCGTCATTTCTTCACACAACTGCGCAAATAACCGCGTATTCAACGCGTTGCTTCGGATTCGGTTTACCGCATCAATGACCAAATGAAGTGATTCATGCAATCTAACACTCAAATTTTTAGCAACTAAATGTTGTCGATGGATGACACACACCCCTGACACATTTTATTTTAAATAGCTTATAAATCCACGATAACGTCCAACCATGGCAGGTGCTCCATCTGTAGCTACTGATGTTATATTTGATAAAGGAATTGCTTTTTCAATAAAGTAATCCTTCAAACATGAAATATTGATTCACCTTTAGTGTCGGCTAACAAAGTTTTGCGAAGAGCAGTTCTTCGTAGATTTCTTGATTCATAATAAAACGAACATATGCCAATGATAATGCTGCATTATCAGGTAAAGTTGACTCGTCCAGTTGTATAGAGAAATGGGTCGTTTGCAAATAATTACATAAGAAGCTTTCAATATCAGAACTCATTTCATCAATACGTCTTTCAACAGTATGTTGCTTAAGGAAATTCTTTTAATAATATCAGATGCAGGTTTGTGTAAAACAGTTTTTAAAACCTCTTCAACGGCTGGCAAAATTAACTTCTCTTCGATAGTATGCTGTTTTCCGGATTTTGCTATAAGTAACGAGATATTGTAAGACGCCCGCAAACCATCATCATTTCTTTGTGACGCCGAAGCGAACACTCTGTCCAGTGTAGGTCTCTTCTGAAATTTATTTTTGAGTGTCTGAAAGTATTTCAAATCTTTCTCTGTTTTATCAGGGTGGCATCTTCTCAGATGGTCTTGCAGTTTAGATGGTTTCATAGCGTCATTGCCCAAAACTTTGTTGCATAAAAGGCGATTGTTTGTTCGGCAATGATGGAAAGAATCCAAATTTCAAATAATCAACACTGTACTGTCTACATTTCTTTTTAGATTCGGACATGGCATCAGTCATCTGTGAGCAAATTAAAATTATAAAGACAGAAAATCCAGCAGCTGTATATTAAAAATATTTTTGGTTTTTTCCGAAAACATTCCATAATTCGATCTTCTGCAACAATTAGCTCGAATTACGGAGATTGCACTGTAATTATATTACCGATTGCTAAAACTTTCAAAAAGAAACTATTGGAGTACTCGTGTAATTTTGTATGATTGAATATTTAACTACTAAGACTAAAGTCATGATTGGCGTAATTTATCTATCTTGCTAACTACGAGTACAAACTAAAATTTAATAAAAATAATGTACTTACTTTTCTCCAGCACTCTCAAACAAAATAACACTGACTCACTATAATTTGTGTGATATACTATCTGTTATATTTTTTAAATATTTTCTTAGCACTTTCCTTTTCAAGATTCAGGAAACGAATAAACGTATTTGTCCCACATTCGTATTTATAGAGTGACGAATTGAACAAGTCAGTGCAAGGTAGCGAAGCTCTGAGCCTGCGACTCTCAGGTTTTTACAAGTTCAAAATGTATTGCGACCACAAAGCGAATACCAACATCCTACAACTTACACAATTTATAAACATAATAATAAATTTTTTACTTCATAGGTACTTTTATAATTAATGTATATGTTTGATATTATAAGAGTATGATGTAAGTAAATAGGTACTATCAGTGTAGTGTTGAGATCCACTATCGTGGACCCCCATATTCATTTCATGGACCCCCAAATTTTTTTTTCGCTGACGTAGACCCCTTGCAGGTTGTCATAGACCCCTAGGGGTCGATATAGAATGGCAATCAATGTTTTAAACCAACGTGAACCTCATCAGGATCTTACAGAGAGAAACTTTTATCGATATGCAGAAGCGTTGCATTTGAATGTTTTTAAATTTAGTTGCACGGCCAAGTTCAAGAGGATTACCACACAAACCACCAAATTCCAATGGCGACAATAACGACGTTATACATGTAACACTGAGGCGATGTCACTTAGTGGTAATTTCATTATTAAAATGTGACGTCGAGTTTACACTGTTCACCGTCAGCACAAATCCGTGTCACTAAAAGCTGCGTTTAAAAATCCCCGGTGATGGCCCGAATGCAAATGTACTAATGATACAATTATTTACACCCCATCCGTTACATCTGCCCTTCTGTCCCACGTTCGAAATTTTATTGCTGATTTTCCCGGATTTTTTGTGGATGTAAATGGCTTCATTGTTTTAACTAAGCATGGATAGGAATTTCGTTGCTACAATTGTTGATTTTATATTTTCAGTTTCAGTGTTGGAATTCAAGTTAGAAAACATCGTATGAAGTAGTCTGTTTGGTTTATTTTTTGTTGTCCGAGTTGCCTGGAGGACCTTGGGAATTTGTTAAAGTCTTGAAGAAGAGTAGATGGTATCAGGTTTAGTAGTCCGAGTAAGAAGAAGGAAAGGATTCAGCAAAAATGTAGAATTCGGTAGTTTTAAATAATTCAGAGGTTTGTTGTTAAAATTAAAATTTGATTGAGCTTACGATTGCTCAATCTATTTTGGGTGCTGCACGATTAATCTTGACTATAAAATCGCTGTGCCTTTTGCTTAATTATTTTACATATTGGTTCCTTTAATAAGCGATGTCAAGGTATCTGTGAAGGATATCACTGGAGATATACCACAAGACGTTAGTAATTGTCCACAAGCCCTCGGATAAGGGTTTTGGCGCGGAATCACCAAGCCGTAAAGCCATTGCTGATCCACTTATATGGGCCATTGTTATGTTCTCTAATAAAAATGGCGTTAGTAGGCTGACTCTGTACCTCCCACATAATTCTGAAATATGTAACATATGTATCTAAGTCAACACTCTGCACACTGTGGTGTCTTTATTATTCTACAGCTACGGAAACCCTTGTGGCTTGATATATAACCGTAAAGTAGGCTGAGCATCAGTGATAAAAGTATTTTGGTTAAAGAAAGTCCGTAGGTCTCGCCGGTGTCGATCAGTCTCATCCCTAAAGACACAGTTAACTTTGTGATGACTAAAGGTTCGTTTAATGAAGAACCCAGGTCTTATTTTGCTAAAAATAGATGCATTCACAAATTTTTTGACAAATATCAACAGCTGTCAGAATTTCGAATCATTCCTAGGAAAGAAACCGAGGCATCATCAGCGTTTCTGAATTCGGATCGAACCTTCTGCATGCAAGGACGCTGCGTATTCCTGAATAGCTGGTACGGTCTGCAAAAGGTGATATTGTGTCTAACAGGCGGGTAGTATTAACCGGATTTACAAAGTTCTGAATAATAAAACGTCTTCCCCTGACCATAGATCCCCTACAAATTCCAATTCCTTACTTTCTGAAAATGATCAGGAGCATCTGAACCGACAAAAATAATGTGGCATTTCTTAGGTTTTTTGAGACAAACATAGGTTCTTCTACAACATGTCAATTTATCACAAGCTGTTGTAAACTTGTTGTGAACTCAATTTGTAGCTGTACGTGTTGCTTAAACGTCAGCGAACTATAACGACTATAACGAGAGAAAATGTGTAATGAACTATTTTCACACTAAAAACTACCCAACCTGCAAGATGACATTTCGTCGTTTTTTAGGTTTCTTACATAATACCCCTAACGGGCGGAAATGAGTCACATGGTTTTTCGTCATGTAGATGTTATACAGATCCAAAAGCCATTTCTCCTTTTCGAATTCTTTTAGATTATAATAATTCGTCGCCAGTGGCGTCGGAAGCAAAATTGAATTATTATCATTTTGGTTTCATTACTATTATTGTGAAGTATGTCAAACACAAGACTTATGAAAGGTTTTGTCCAACTTATGCATATTACAAGTAAAAGTAGATAAAATAATTGTCAGATATCATAACCACAGTTGTGACGTTGTATGCTCGACCAAATTCAACTAATGCACAAAGAAACCAATTTCACAAAAACACTACTCGTATGCCCACTATCTTGAAAAACTAGTTTAAAAAATAGTGTTACTAGATCAAAACCAAAGCCAGTCAAATCAACAATCTACTGAAGTTCTAAGCAATTATAAGATGAGCTTTGGTCGTGACAGAAAAAACCGATGAACTTCACAGCATGTATTCGTCAACAAAATGCTGCACAGAGATAAGTCGTGAATTCATAATTATAAATAATATCTTTTATTTAGCATAGAAAATATGTTACTGCACAATGATCAAAGTCTCACATGCCAGTGCGCGTGACTGCTTTATAATTGATTTCATTTAAATTTTAGCAAGTTTGTGGTGATTATGTGCTTTTTATAAATAGCACGGTATTTTGATTTTACTTAAAAATTTTAGCAAGGTTATGTGGTGATTATATACTTTTTGTAAAGAGCACAGTAGTACCTTTTATATTACATAACCACTCTCTGAAGTAAATTACCTGTTTGAAAATAAGAATGGCCTTTAGAACATACATTTGTCGACCGAACTTAACATTGTGGTTTCCAGGGTAGTTGCCGAACTCAATTTGTAATTGACTCGTAAGGCATATGTCACACAATCAGTATTTACTGTGATCCATCAGTATTTATCAAGGAATTTGATATTTATTTACCGTGTAGCCAGAACAACAGTTATTACTGAGATTACGTGGAAGTCCACTCTCACGGAATGATCGTAAATACTGATGATACAGAAATGCGCCTAAGGATTCAGTATGTCAGGTCATTCTCTTATCAGAATGGCAACAAGGTACTTGACAGAAATCTTTTCATGACTGAAATCTCAAAATCGTAAACGTAAAAGTAATCGCAAATAGCTTATTGTTCATCAACCTCGACAGCTCACCATGTCTAATAACTGTGTATTCAACATCATCCGCTTTTGTTTCGGTTAAATTGCGCTCAGCAAAAACTGTGTGTACATACAGAAAACATCCGATCGGCTGACTGTGCCAGTGCCGGTATTCACAATCTGCCTTTCACGCAGCGGTTGCATTGTAATTGGAAAGTTTGATTGCTATGTTTAGAGGCGCGATTGTAATATCGATGATGCCATGCTTTGGAGACACTCCTTTGTCTATGGAGATGCAACAGAGCATCAATGTGGTATACAGTATCTTTCATATAGATACTCCTAGATGATACGACATAGCGTAAAAAACCACGAAATCGTTCTCTGTAGATTATGTATAAAATATTGGCGGATTCAGAGGGGCGGGGGAGGTCGAAGAGGCACGCGCCATTTATTTCTCAAGAAAATGGTGTATGTTACTGTATCTTAGTGTAAAAATTACCTTGGTACACCTGAATAGAACCCCTCCTCCCTTAGAAGTATCCCACCCTCCTCAATGTTAAAAGCTATTCCTTATTATATTCTGTGCGCCACAGACCGATGTTTACTGCTTGTACCCATGTACGCCTAAGCATTTTTTTAAAACAGGATAATAAACCCATTATAAAATACTTTATTGTACCTGAGGTGCCTAAGTGGCCGAAACGTTGAACGAATGAAATGAAATGCCCCCGCCCCCCTCCCTAATGTGCAGGTCATCGGCAATATCATTGATCTGCTAAAGGTCAATTGCAGACTCTTGTTATAGAGCCTGTTATCAAGAAACGTTTATAAAAAACAGTTATCACCTCGAACAATATATATATATATATATATATATATATATATATATATATTCCCATTTCCCACATTCCCATTCTGCCTGTAGATAGCCAATGTAATACTGTAATCGCGCGTCCGAGATGAATGAATGAGATACTGTTGCAAAATATATGAGAATTTGTCAAGCTATCGTTTCCTCTCCGAAATAGTTTCTACTTTGAAACGATAGTAGTGTCTCATAGACGGAGCTGTAGTCAACTCTATATGGAAATGTAGTTCCA